AAATACAAAAATTAGCCAGGCGCAGTGGCTTAAGTAATCCCAGCACTTTGGGAGGCCGAGGCGGGTGGATCACGAGGTCAAGAGATCGAGACCATCATCGTCAACGTGGTGAAACCCCGTCTCTACTAAAAATACAAAACATTAGCTGGGCATGGTGGCGCGTGCCTGTAATTCCAGCTACTCAGGAGGTTGAGGCAGGAGAATTGCCTGAACCCAGGAGGTGGAGGTTGCGGTGAGCCAAGATCGCACCATTGCACTCCAGCCTGGGTAACAAGAGCGAAACTCTGTCTCAAAAAAATAAATAAATAAATAAAAATACAAAAATTAGCTGGGTGTGGTAGTGTGCACCTATAGTCCCAGCTACTTAGGAGGCTGAGGCAGGAGAATCACTTGAACCCAAGAGGCAGAGGCTGCAGTGAGCTGAGATTGAGCCACTGCAACGTGGGAAACAGCACGACTCTGTCTCAAAAAAAAAAAAAAAAAAATCAACAAGTCACAAATCCGGAGAAGATATTTGCCACACTTAAATGAAGAAATGGTTAATATGTAGAATATTAAAGGAACTCCTACAATTAATTTTAAAAGGACAACCTGGCTGGGCATGGGGGTCACGGGGTTACACCTGTAATCTCAGCAATTTGGGAGGCTGAGGTGGGAGGATTGCTTGAGCTCAAGAGTTCAAGAACAGCCTGGGTAACATGGAGAAACCCTGTCTCTACAAAAAAATACAAAAATTAGTCACACCTGTAGTCTCAGCTACTCGGTAGGCTGAGGTGGGAGGATCACTTGAGCCCAGGAGGTGGAGGTTGCAGTAAGCCAAGATCGTGCCACTGCATTCCAACCTGGGTGACAGAGGGAGACCCTGTCTCAAAAAAAAAAAAAAAGGTTAGCCTGATTTTTTAAAATGAGCAGATATGAATGGGCACTCCAAAGAGAATTAAACAAAAATCGTCAAAAACACATGAACTTTATTATCAATAAGGAAAATTTCAATAAAACAAGTAATTATAATTTTATACCCACAAGTTGCCAAAAATGTAAAAGTCTGTTATACCAAGTGTTGGTGCGAATGTGGAATGACTAGAATTTTTATACACTATTGCAAAAGTGTAAATTACAATCTCTTTGGAAAACAACGTAGCACTATCTTGTAAAGTTAAATATGCACATACCCTATGATCCAGCACTTCCACTCCTAGGTCTATACTAGAGAAACGTTCCCACTCTGTATATATAAATCTTTAAAAATTGATAAGTCCTTCTGTCTTTTTCTCTTGTAAAAAAAAAAATTAGTTGTTTGTCCTGCAGTCCTAGTCTCTCTTGAGTCCACCTCAGTCAGTGTTTCATCTCCAGAACGCCATCAAAAATGTTCTTGTCAGGCCAGACACAGTAGCTCACACCTGTAATCTCGGCACTTTTAGGAGGGTGAGGCAAGAGGATCACTTGAGCCCAGGAGTTCAAGACCAGCCTGGGCAACATAGTATGTGAGAGAGAGAGGGAATGGTAACACATTTTAGATAGTGTGTGGAGTGCTCTTGGAGTAAGGATGATGGGGAAAAGACCCAGGACACTTCAGTGGTATCAATAACGTCTGTTTCTTAGCTGGGGAGTTGGTTCACAGATCTCTATGTTATCATGCATCCTAACTTACATATATGGGTTATATATGTTCTCCTGTATGTATCAACTACTTCACAATTACAAAATAGAAAACACCAAAAAGATCCAAAGTAGCTATAGGAGGAATTAAAGAATCATGCTCCAAACAAACGAACAGCGTATACAAAGGCCCTGGCGTGGGAACAGTTACTGTGTTGGAGGACTTGATCGGTGTGCCTGGAGCACTGTAAGCAAGAGAGACGGTGGTTTGAGACAAATTGGAGAGGTATGCAGGAACCAGATCTTGAAAGCTCACAGTAAGGAGTTTGGATCTGATTCTAAGTACAGTGGGAAACTAGTGGAGGATTTAAGCAGGTGAGAGACATGATCAGATTTATGTTTGCTAAAGATTTTGGCTGCAGCTTTGGCTGGGTTACATGCCAAAAGTGAGCTTCCCAAAATATGAAGGAACACAGGCAAATTTAAGCTTTCTAGCTTTTCATTTGACCAGAAAATAGGTAATAAAAATAAATATAAGGGGGGACATATATTTCAGAAAAGAAAGCTGCTTCTGCTTTCTGTGATTGGGCTATAGGAGTCAATAGGAAGCTGGAAGACCACTGTGGAGATGGTTGTGATTATTCAGGAAGGTGGCTTAGACCAGGGTTATTTTGAAAGAGGGAGTGAGGAAAAGGAAGGATTAAAGGATGTCTCCTAGGTTTTTGGCCTGAGCAACTTGGTGAATAGTGGTGCCATTTATTGAAATAAGGAAAACTGCCAGGCGCGGTGGCGCGTGCCTGTAGTCCCAGCTACTCGGGAGGCTGAGGTGGGAGGATCGCTTGAGCCCAGGAGCTCTGGGCTGTAGTGCGCTATGCCGATCGGGTGTCCGCACTAAGTTCGGCATCAATATGGTGACCTCCCAGGAGCGGGGGACCACCAGGTTGCCTAAGGAGGGGTGAACCAGCCCAGGTCAGAAATGGAGCAGGTCAAAACTCTTGTGCTGATTAGTAGTGGGATTGCACCTGTGAATAGCCACTGCACTCCAGCCTGGGCAACATAGCGAGACCCTGTCTCTTAAAAAAAAGAAAGAAAGAAAGAAAGAAAGAAGGAAAACTACATAGAGTACAATGAAAAAGGAGTGTTATAGATGTGTTTGAGGCTTAGGAAGGTGAGAAGGGGTCAGATCATGAAGAACCTTATAAATCTGGCAAAGGGGGTTGGACCTTATCTTGTAAGCACTGGGGAGCCATTTGCTTTAAAGGTGCTTTCAAAGGCTTTATGCTGAGGATTACCATGGTCAGATTTGCTTTCACAAAGATCACTCTGGTAGCCAGTGCAGAGAAATCCAGTGCAGAAAGGGTAACATTGGAGCAAGAGAGCCCAGTGAGGCTCCTGAGATACTGCCTGACACCAGATTGTGAGGCCTGAGTTAAGCTGGTGGCAGCAAAGATGGAGAACACAGTTAGAAATATATCACGAAGTAAAATCAGTAGGAATCAATAATGGCTGAAATATTATAAGGAGAAAGGAATGGAGGTGGTGTGTAGTCAAAGATGGTGGTCAGTACTGATGGGCCATTCTACCTCCCTTTTACTTCAGATGTATAGCATAAACCAGTCAACAGATGCCAGGGAAGCAGCAGCCATTGAGGCTAAAAGAAATCGAGAAAAAGAGCGACAAAACCGATTCTTCAATGTGCGGCACCGAGTCATGGGGGTGAGTGTAGTAGGGACTGTTGCTCAGGATTGGGCTACCTCACTCTTACACCTGGAGAGGAATGTGTAGCAGTGCCCATGAGAGCCCTTTCCCTGATCCAAGGCAGGCTCCTAGGGTGGGAAAGGAAGGAGAGGGAGAGAAGGGGCCCACCCCTACAGGCCTGGGAAGGGCTTAGAAAGAGGGATGGGTCAGTGCAGGGGAAGAGACTAGGGGAGACAGCTGACCCTTCTCCAGTCAGCTCTGGGCCATGTGACCTGGTTCTAGAGACAGGCAACATTGAGCTAAAAGAGGCCTAAAGAATATTTGGAGGCTGGGTGCAGTGGCTCACACCTGTAATCCCAGCACTTTGGGAGGCCAAGGCAGGAAGATCACATGAGGTCAGGAGTTTGAGACCAGCCTGGCCAACACGGTGAAACCCTTTCTCTACTGAAAATACAAAAATTAGCTGGGTGTGGTGGTGCATGCCTGTAATCCCAGCTACTTGGGAGGCTGAGACACGAGAATCACTTGAATCCAGGAGGAGGTTGCAGTGAGCTGAGATCGTACTATTGCACTCCAGTCTGGGCGACAGAGTGAGATCCTGTCTCAAAGTTGCTGCATATACCTAAACTATCTCTGTAAGGCTTTGTAAGAAACTGTTAACCAGGCTGAGAGACAGAGATGGAAGGAATACTTACTCCTCACTAAACTGTATTCCTTTGTGTATGATTTTTTTTCCTTTTTGTATGATTTTGAAATGTAATGAATGAATTATAATCAAAATAAAGAGAAAATATTGATAGTTTAAGAAACAAAAGATTGCTAGGTGAGTGGATAGATGGGGGATGCAGCATGGTATTCTGGAAAAAACTCTGCACTATTTAAGGCCAGGTCTGCTGACTGTTGCATGTGTGGCTTTGGATAAATCACCTGTCTTCTCTGAGCCCCAGGCTCCTCTTGTGTAAAATGAGTCTGAAGGAAGTGAGGTGAGTATTAATACACAGTGGTAGCTCTGAAAACCAGTGCATGGTGCCTGCCATAAGTAGTTGGCTAAAGTATGAGCAGTCTGATTGAGATCCAGCTGACAAGCATTTCCTTGGGGCCTGCTCTGTGCCAAGCACTGTTTTGGGCAGTGGGGATACAAAACTGACTAAGGCCCAGTTTCTGCCCTGAAAGGGCTCACAGTCTGGCGCAGGAGAGGATAGAGAGAGGCGAACTTCACTATAATGTAGACAGTGGGTTCTAGATTCTATGAGAGTAGAGCCTGCCTGAGGAGTCAGGAAGGTGAAGCCTGAGCTGGTCTTGAAGGACAAATTGGAGTTTGTATAAAGAGATGAGGAAAGTGTTCCAAGTGGAGGGAGCAGCTTGAGCAAAGGCTATTGGTTCAAAACAGCCTAAGATATGCAGGGAACTGTAAGCACAGCTCACAAGGGTAAGCGTGGCACAGGGGAGGCGGGTACTAAGAGATGAGACCAGAGAAGGAGGCAGAGGCTAGACCATGGAGAGGCTTACAAATCATGCTCAGGAGCTAGAACTTTATCCAGTAGGTACTGGAGAGCTACAGGAGGATTTTGAAACATGTAAATTCTAAGTTTGTGGTAGGGCATTAAAGGCCCCCTGCTGGGCCCCTACTCTGATTGTGCTCCTTTCTTTGGGATCAGGTGGATGTCCAGGCCCTAAACAACCAGGTGGCAGAGCGAAAGCGTCGGGAAGCAGCAGAAAAAAGCAAGGAGGCAGCCTATGGTAAAAGCGCAAAGCCAGGGGCCAGACAAGGGTGTAAAGAAAGAGCTGGAGTGGGCTGAAGTAGGGCAGTTCTGCCTGTGAGTGTAGTCTGAGGCCCTGGGGTGGCGGGACAAACCAGGTGGATCTTGAGAGCAGAGGCCATGCTAAGTAGACTCTGTCCCTCCTGGGGTATCTTTTCCATATCCTTGCTCACCACCCCCAGGTACCAGCCAGGTGCAGTATGATGTGGTAGTCCAGATGTTAGAGAAGGAAGAGGCAGAACGAACACGTCGGCTGGCCAAGAAGGTCCAGGATTTTCGGGAGCAGAAGCAGCAGCTCAAGAACGGGCGTGAATTTAGTCTTTGGGATCCAGACCAAGTCTGGAAGGGGCTTCCGACCTATCTTAGTTACAATAATACCTATCATGGTCCATCCGGCCTGCAGTACTTCTCTGGGGAAGACCTAGACAGGGTCACACACCTGAGAATGCAGCAGAGGCAGTTCAGGTACGACTTGGAAAGGCAGCAGCAGGAGCAACAGCAAGCCAAGGTTGATGAGAATTATGCAGGTAAGCAGCCCAGCCCTCCAGACTCAGAGACCTGAGGCCTAGTGGGGAATCTGTCCTAAGCTGAGTACAGCACCCAGGAACCAGAACTGTGTGGGGAGGTCCAATTATCCATAGGGTTGGTGCTGAAATGTTAGGTCGTGCAGACCCCAACCTCCCTGACTTCCTTTAGTAATGACAGTGTAGCATTGTTCTTGATTAGCTTGGTGCTCTATTACCTGGAAGCAGCATAGTGCACAGACCTAATTACAACCCTATTACAGCACTCTGTTGGACCACTTACTGTAGTCGTAGCTAATTGTGAAAGTATTTGTTTAGGCCAGGTGCAGTGGCTCATGCCGGTAATCCCAGCACTTTGGGAGGCCAAGGTGGGTGGATCACAAGGTCAAGAGATCAAGACCATCCTGGTGAAATGCTGTCTCTACTAAAAATACAGAAACTAGTTGGTCCAGTGGCATGCACCTGTAGTCCCAGCTGTTCGAGAGGCTGAGGCAGGAGAATTGCTTGAACCCAGGAGGTGGAGGTTGCAGTAAGCTGAGATCACGCCATTGCACTCCAGCCTGGGAGACAGAGCAAGACTCTGTCTCAGGGAAAAAAAAAGTATTTAATATGTCTTCTCCCTAAAATCTCAGCTTACTGAAGATGAACCATCTCTTTCATGTCCACCCATCTCCCAGTTGCTTAGTATAGTGTCTGTCAGGTCTTAGAAACAGCAAGGAGCTCAGTGTGGCTGGAGCAGAAAAAAATTGTCAGTACGTTTGCTCATGCCATGCCCTCAACCTGAAATGCCCTTTGCTTTTTTAGCCTGTATACAAAATGTATTTCAAGGATCACCTCTTCCTGGAAGCCTTCTTCTCTTCCACCACCCAAAACCCTCCTAATACCCTATACACATCCCTACCATTGCTCTTGCCAGATTTTGGTCTTATTATCTATGCTTGATCTGTGTCCTCAGCTAGACAGGGAGCTCTCTGGGGACAGGATTTAATTCAGTGGTATCCTTGGAACCCAACACATGGCCCTTAGACTGAGATTCAGAGATATGAAATGATTTACCGAAAACTACACAGCTCAGAAGCAGCAGAGCGGACATTGGGACCCAGGTCCATTGGAGGCATCTTTTAGTTATGTACTTGAGAAATCCTTGTTGCTGTACCTTGGCTATTCCTAGCCAAGGGATGTGGAAGGAACTACTTCCACATCCCTTGTTCCTTCCACATCCCTACAACTCAGACACTACCCCCCTCCTAAACATACATACACACACAAACACAAAATTTGCTGAACAAATGGCTGGATAAGTGAAACAGTAATGGAGCAAGCCAGTACAGTACCCTGGCCATATTTCTGTGTAGATGCGCTCAGTGACCAGCTGCGCCTCGCCATGGACGCACAGGCCACCCATCTGGCCAGGCTGGAGGAGTCCTGTCGCGTGGCCATGATGTGTGCCATGGCCAACGCCAACAAAGCGCAGGTATGGCCTGGGCCATCCAGTACCTAGGCCCTCCCCAACTCCTGAACAAAGTCTGGGGAACCTTAGCCACATTCTTCCTCTTATATACCCTCTCAAATCAGCACCAGCCCTCGCATCTGAGTACTCCCCCTTCATCGAAGGCCCCTCTTAGGGCACAAGTCACCTCTCCCCACCTCCAGAAGCAAGATGACTTGAGAACAGAACATTGCCCTCTCATCCTCAGCTCAGTCTAAAGGTTTCCTGAAGGCAGAGAAGTTCCCTGCCCATTCTCCCCCACACATGCATTAGGGTCACTGAAAGGCCATGCAGTCATATCTGTTCTTTCCTTGAGATGGAAGAGTAGGGCCATGTTCCCCCTCCCCTGTGACAGAGTTCCCTAAGGTTGGGCACCCAAATGCTTGTATTTGGGGGCTCCCCAAGGCAGCTGCACAGTCTGGGCGTCAGCGCTGTGAGCGTCAGCGTGAACAGAAGGCCAATCTTGCGGAGATCAAGAACCAGAGCACGAGTGACCTACTGACTGAGAACCCCCAGGTCGCCCAACACCGTACAGCTCCCCACCGGGTCCTGCCCTATTGCTGGAAGGGCATGACTCCAGAGCAGCGAGCTGCCATCAGGAAAGAGCAGGAAGTACAACGCTTTGAGAAGGAAGCACAATGTCAGGCTGAAAAAGCATTGGATACTGAATGGAAAAGCCAGACCATGAGCTCGGCCCAGGCAATGCTGGAGCTAGAAGAGCAGGAGAGGGAATTGTGTGCTCAGTTTCAGAGGGGTCTAGGCTCCTTCAACCAGCAGCTGGCTCAGGAGCAAAAAGCCCAGTGAGTTCTAGGTGGTGGTGGTGGAGATAAATACCAAGGGAGGGAGAGAAGGAAAACATGTCAGCTGAGGCCTCTGGACTTCTTTCACAGGCAGGATTACCTGAACTCAGTAATCTACACCAATCAACCTACAGCCCAGTATCACCAACAGTTTAACACCAGCAGCCGCTAAGTTCAGGATGTTTATCTCTCCCTTTTCGTCCATCAAGCTCACAAGTGGTCAGGAGTCAAAGAGAAAAATGCTGCATACTCCCACCTTCTAACCTAGGTAATAAACTTCTTCACTCAAAATCAAGTCCACGTGTTGTAACAGGACACAAAAAGTGTGAAGGTACTCCCTCTCCCCCTTCCACCCTGGAGCTCTAAGCATACAACCCTGTCACAGCCTTCACGTTTCTTCCCCATGCCAGGGCCCCTAGCACACAACACTGCCTACAATCTGTGAGAAAAAGAGACTTTATTAGGCACAGAGGGCAGCTGATGGGCAGCTACTGGGCTTCCTCCCAAGCTGGAGAGTAGTACCCCAGGGGAAGGAAGGGCAGAGGAGTGTGTGTTCTCTCTGCCTTCTCCCTTCAAGGCTGCATACGAATGGCCCCATCCAGCCGGATAACCTCTCCATTGAGGAATGGGTTCTCAATGATGGCCTGTACCAGATGAGCATACTCAGCAGGGTCACCCAGTCGGTTAGGAAAGGGTACTTGGCTGGCCAAGAAGTTGCGTACCTTCTCTGGGAGGGTGATCAGCAGTGGGGTGCCAAACAGACCTAAAAAAGATAACCAAATTCAGAGACTCACCCTTGCTTTCATATTTACCTGGTCCTTCCTCACTTTAGCCCTGCTTCTTGGTGCTTCCCTGGGGCCCAAAGATAAAAGGCTGCTGTTGCTTAGGTAATGGATACCTTCCCCTCTCAACTGCCCATGGATCCCACACAATCCCAGTTGTGACGGAGAGAGGGGATATGTCTACCTGGAGCAATGGTCATCACCCGGATGCCTATGGGAGCCAGATCCCGAGCAATGGGCAGTGTCATGCCCACTATTCCCCCCTTAGAAGCAGAGTATGCAGCTTGTCCAACCTGGAGAAAGAGTAGAGCTCATAGGTGGGAGGGCCCCCCAACAAGTCACTGAGGAGGCATACGTCATACCCCTGCCCACACACCTGACCCTCGAAGGCAGCCACACTGGCAGTGTTAATGATGACCCCACGTTGGCCTCCCTGGTCTGGTTCATTCTGGCCCATCTCAGCAGCCACCAGGCGGATCACATTGAAGGTGCCCATGAGATTCACCTGTAGGACATGTGGAGACATGGTATAGGACCTGAGGCAGAAGAAGCTTTTGTTCCCTAAAAACTTTGGGGTACTTCACAGCCAGATACCTCTTACTCCCACTATCCCTGGAGAACTTACAAGGCCTTACATTAAGAACTCGCTGGAAGTCTTCCAAGGTATGGGCCTGGCTTTTCTTTAAGTTGTATGTCTTGATAGCCACTGCGATGCCTGCACAGTTGACAGCTACATCCACACGGCCAAACTTTTCTTTTGCTAGAGCCAGAGCTGTTTGCACACCCTTCTCAGAGGTCACCTTTAAAGGGAGAAGTGGAGAAGGTATTCATCTCCCAGCACGCACACTCCCACTAAACCTGAGGGAGGGCAGGGCAGGGCAGGGCATGCCCTGTCCTTGGTGAGAAGTGAGTTATAAGAACAAGGGAGAGGCCAAGAGAAAAGATTGAGGTAAAACTTGAGAGAGTAGGCTGGGCGCGGTGGCTCATGCCTGTAATCCCAGCATTTTGGGAGGCCGAGGCGGGTGGATCACTTGAGATCAGGAGTTCAAGACCAGCCTGGCCAACATGGCAAAACCTCATCTTTAGTAAAAATACAAAATTAGCCGGCCATGGTGGCACATGCCTGTAATCCCAGCTACTTCGGAGGCTGAGGCAGAAGAATTGCTTGAACCCAGGAGGCAGAGGTTGCACTGAGCCGAGATTGTGCCATTGCACTCCAGCCTGGGCAACAGTGAGACTCTGTCTCAAAAAAAAAAAAAAAAAAAAAAAGTAGGTCAAAGGTGAAAATGTTATGTAACATAGAGCAGAGCTGCAAAACATTCTTCAAATCAATACCCTCTTGATAAGTTCACATGCTCCTGGAGATTCTCAATTGCTACGGATCAGAGCACTAATACAACCCTGTTGTGAGGCCAGGCACAGTGGCTCACACCTGTAATCCCAGCACTTTGGGAGGCCGAGGAGGCAGTCCGATCACCTGAGGTGAGGAGTTTGAGACCAGCCTAGCCAACATGGTGAAACCCCGTGTCTTCTAAAAATCCAAAAAAAATTAGCTGGGCGTGGTGGCAGGCACCTGTAATTCCAGCTACTCGCAAGCCTGAGGCAGGAAAATCGCTTGAACTCAGAAGGTGGAGGTTGCAGTGAGCTGACATTGCACCACTGCACTCCAGCGTGAGCGACAGAGTGAGACTCCATCTCAAATAAAAATAAAAAATAACCCTGTTGTGACAATCATTAATAGGAAGATAAACTTTTTTGTATCCCTACCTGCCAATCTGATTTCATCAAGTTTTACTTTCTGTAGTTTGTTTCATGAAAAGAAGTTTTTTGACTTTGTAAACATAAAATTACAGGGCACTATATGCATTTTCAAACTATGCATAAACCCTCCTGGGATTATGTCCAATCCCCATCCCCATTGTTGTGAATCACAGCTTTAGAGAGTCCTTATCACGGGTGGTCCCACAATGCTTGAAGGCTTGGGCCAAAAGAGACAAGGAGATGGATCCACTGCCCTCATAGAGGAGACCCTTATGGGAGGGACCCCCCGCAGGTTCCCAGGCCAGTGCTGGTGACCCACACTCTGGGAGAGGAGAGGTGACCCCACTTACGTCGGCTGGGGCGAAAACGCAGCTGTTTCCTAACTTCTTTGCCTGGGCCTCCCCACCTGAGTTGGGCAGGTCCAGAAGCACTGCAGAGGCTCCCTGCCCCACTAGTCGCTCCGCGGTGGCCAGGCCCAGGCCCGAGGCTCCTCCAGTTATTACCGCCACCAGGCCCTGTGTCAAAAGAGTCAGCGTCGGCTGCTACATCGCCCAGACCACCCCCACGCTGTCACCTGCCTGTTCTCCAGGCTTCTGCGGAGAAGGGGAGAGGAGAGTGGTAGTGATCACCCCTGCGGGTACACCAGGTGTGCTGCTTCGCCTCACCGTTGGGACCCCGAGGGCAGGGGGGATCTCATCCCCAGACAGCCCGTCCCGTAACCCCAGGTATATATATATGTATATGCCGTGGAGTGCTGACTTTCATCTCTTGAGCCCAACCGCCACAATGCCAGGCCTACATAAACATAACCCTTTCCTCCGAAACCGATCTCTTTCTCCTAGTTCCACGGCCACGCTGTCCCGCCCGGTGAAGAAGGGCAAGCAACAGAGGAAAAGAACCTTCTACCTTCACGCTCCGACACGCTGCAGCCATCTTTGCGTCCGCCTCTCCACTGGCTGGAGGCGCAGGTGCTCGCTGATTGGCCGAGGCGAAGCCGCTGGGCGACGGGACGGGACGTCTGTCGTGTGAGACGTAGGGGCGTGGCCTGGTACTTTTGTACCTGGGCTAGAGGGCGAATTCCACCTGTTAAGGTATACCCAGAGAGTTATTTCAACTGGGGAAAAAGACCAATAGCAGCAGTACAATACCACAACACCCTCGCCCTACTCTCTAGCTGGCCTTTTGGCAAGTGGCCCGCTCCGCGTGGGGGAAGAGGCGTGGATATTCAGAATGGGCGCCTTTCTCCTCTGAAAAAGCCTTCAAGTATGAATGCATTTGAGACTCCTATATGCTAGACTGTGTGCAGGGCACCAGGGATACCTAGGGAATAATAAAAGATTCATGCCTTCCAGGAGGGCACAGTTCAGTTGGAGAAATAGAATTACAGTATAGGGACAGACGAATGGACAGAACCAGATTCTGGGACACTCAGACAAGGAGATCCAAAGATGAGAAGTCTGAGATACAGAGAGAGAGTCATATAAAGAGAAACATGTTGAGGCCGAGATAGGAAGAGAGATGCCAGATAGGATCACAGAGCGATGAAAGTGGAGAGCCCCTAAGAGAGATGCTTGGAGACAGAGATTCTGAGACAGCTGCTGAGAAGCACAAACCTAGAGGCAAAAACATCTTTCAGAGCGTGGTGGCTCACGCCTGTAATCCAAGCACTTTGGAGGCCAAGGCGGGTGGATCACCTGAGATTGGGAGTTCAAGACCAGCCTGACTAACATGGTGAAACCCCGTCTTAAAAAAAAAAAAAAAAAAAATCTTTCATCACTTCAGCCTTTGCTGCTCTCCTCTATCTTTGTCTAATTTATTTTAAGCCCAAAAGCCCAGATCACACACTGCAGATTGGACTTCAGCCAGAGACTATTAAGACCCAGGTCTTGGCCGGGCGCGGTGGCTCACACCTATAATCCCAGCACTTTGGGAGGCCAAGGCGGGTGGATCACGAGGTCAAGAGATCGAGACCATCCTGATCAACATGGTGAAACCCTGTCTCTACTACAAATACAAAAAAAAAAAAAAAATTAGCTGGGCATGGTGGCGCGTGCCTGTAATCCCAGCTACTCAGGAGGCTGAGGCAGGAGAATTGCCTGAACCCAGGAGGCGGAGGTTGCGGTGAGCCGAGATCGCGCCATTGCACTCCAGCCTGGGTAACAAGAGCGAAACTCCGTCTCAAAAAAAAAAAAAAAAGACCCAGGTCTTGGTCATCCTAGAACATCTTTCAGCCAGCTTCCAGAAGCTGCATCATTAGGGTCTTGAGCCCAGATATCTAATTTGTCTACCTTCTATACTTTTCCTCAAACCAAGGTCTTCAGGCCATAAATCTTAGCCTACGGTTTCAGACTCATAACTGCTTTATATTTTCTCTATTTGAAATATCTCCCCCCTACACCTGCTTTCTCACCCAGTAAGATTCCCCTCCAGGCCTTCTAGCTGTTGACCACTACAGTCATAATCACGACACCATATTTACCAAATGATTTAGCACACTGGACTCAGGATTTTCTTATCTACATGAAGTGTTTCCAACAATTTACAGCACTCTTCATCCGGCCCAATATGCTCTAGCCACAGTGGCCTCCTTTGTGTTCATCTTTTCATCAGCTGCTCCCTCTGCTTGGAGTGCTCTCCCCTGATCTTTGCATGACTGCCTTTTTTTTTTTCATTCAGAACTAAGCTTAAATGTCACCTTCCCAGAGGGGTCCTCCCTAAATACTCAAACTGTAGCCACCTAGACACTAT